GAGATGTTGTTATCATGAATGAGAGACCCCAGAGTGTCAATAGGGAAAGGAGAGGAACGATGATGAACGTATCTGTTCAGCCGTAAAGTTATCTCTTTGGCATCTGTTTCATAGATGAGATGTGCATGGAATTGCAATGCCCAAGTGAGACCTTTTATTGAAGCTGCCAGCTCTGCTTGATATGGTGTTTGAGCACTAACTTGGAAGGAAGCTGCTCTAACGAAACTGCCTTCTTCATTTCGAATAATAGCAGCACCACGAGATGACGTCATGTTGAAGGAAGCATCTATGTTGATTTTCAGTCTGCCTTTGGGTGGAGCTAACCATTTTACCATTCTGGGCTTTGGGTGGTTGAGAAATCGAGGGAGTAAGCCTTTATTTTCCAACCATTCATCAGCAACTCTGAAATTTTTAGGGCATTTAGCTAGGAGCCAGAGTTTCGTATGAGTACAGATGTCTTCTATGAGCTTTCCTGCATTGAAGTTGATTTTGTCATCATGAATCATTGCATTGATGGATTTCCAGATGTGCCATGTGATGATTCCAGGTAGATGAAGGCGAAGAAATCCATAAATGTTATTATTTGATCTAAGCCACCACCTCATGAAATGTTGGTTGATGGATGGTGAAGGAGTGTGCATAAAACCCAGGGATGAAGAAAAGAAAATCCAAACATCCCGAAGTTTGGTGCAATCAATGAAGGAGTGTTGAGCAGTGTATGGAGCATCTTTACAAAGGGGGCAGATTGATGGAAGATGGTATCCAAGTCGCTGAAGGTTTTCAGGGATAGGGAGGCACTTTTTGAATAGTTTCCAAGTGAAGATGGATACCTTAGGGTGTTGTGGAGTTTTCCAGAGAAATTGGAATGAAGCTGTAGGGGAAAGAGAACTCCTACAATGGTTGTAAACTGATTTTAAGGAGAATATTCCATTGGGTTCTATGGACCAGCGTAACCTTTCTCCATCATATTGGGTAGCGTTAGAGGCCAGGTCATCTATTTTTACAATTCTTTTCCAAACCAGGGAGTCCAGTAACGTAGTAGTCATCTCACCATCTCTCCAGTACTTGGCTCTCATCAGCCTTGCCCATATGCCATCATCCATGTGGAATTTCCACCAGAGCTTTAGACTGTAGGCCTCTTCCAGGCTCTCAAGGTTTCTAGTTCCAATACCCCCCTCTTCTTTGGGTAAGCACAAATTTTTCCAACTAATCCAGTGATGCTTAGAGGAGTCACCCCCACCCCACCAAAAGTTTGACATTTTTTGCTCAATGACCTGACGGATAGATTTGGGGATGGTGTTTGCAGTGAGGAAGTAGTTGGGGAGAGTATTCAAAACGTGATTGATCAAAATTAGCCTACCTGCCTGACTCAGGTTCTTTTGGAACCATCAATTTAGTTTGGAGTCAAAAGAATGAATGAGTTTGGCGCAGTGAACCTTCCTGGTGATGCCTAAATCAATGGGGACTCCAAGGTAGTTGAAAGGGTATTTTTTGTGAGGCATCAGTAATAGTTTCTCCATTTTAGTGATGGCGAGTGAGTTGACCTTAGCTCCAGTCATGAAACTGCATTTAGCATAATTAATAGTTTGTCCAGAGACTAGCTCGAAGTTCTGAAGGAATTTCTTGAAATTGCTGATTGATCTAGAATGCCCCGAGGTAAAAATAATAATATCATCAGCATAAGAAAGGTGAGTGATAGGAATGGAGTTCCTACCACTGTTGAATCTGCCAATGATACCTGCATGAAACAATTTGTTGATGTTTCTAGAGAAACCTTCATTAGCAATGATAAAGAGGAGAGGGGAGAGAGGGTCCCCTTGTTTGATCCCCCTAGATTGACCAAAGAAACCACAAGGTTTGCCATTGAGAAGAATAGAATAAGTAGAAGAGGAAAGCAGGCCTTTAACCATGTTAATGAAATGGCAGCAGAATCCAAACCTCCTGAGGATGTCAAAAAGGTAGGACCATTTGAGTTTGTCAAAGGCCTTAGCCATGTCCAACTTGATGATGATGTTGCCACCATTGGCTTTCCTGTTAATGTGATGGACCATTTCCTTCGTGATAAGGATTTGATCAAGACTCTCTCTACCAGGAACATAAGCCCCCTGCTCTTCAGAAATAATCAGTGGTAATAATCTGCCCAGCCTAGTAGCA